GCGCTTGCGGCTGCCAATGAGGCAGAGGGAGGGCGGGCTGGGGCGGGGCCAAGGCGGCCCCGGAGAGTGGGGTCCCCAAGCTAAAGCGGGTCCCTGGCTAGCTAGCCCTTCCCGGAGCTAGCGAGAGCCGAGGCAGCGCTGAACGCGAATGTAGCACGGGGCTAGCGCTGAGCCCCGACGTCCGGCGCTGACTGCACCTGCTTCAACGGGTCATTTGATAGAGCTGTGTGCGCCTCGAGGCGGATGGTCCCAGGAGGAGGAAACCTGGGACTGAAGAAATGGAGGAGTGTGGACATTGGAAGAGGACCTGAAGGCGAGGCCACTTGCTGTTTCGTTCCCGTCCAGCGGCGTGTGAACAGTCGCCCAGAGAGCCGGGGTGGGGGTCACTTCAAGATTATATTGGACTAACGAGGAACGATGTTACCTTCTGGCCTTCTTTTAGATATAAGGATTTGCGGGACTATGCTAGACTCCTCCCTCGCTGGGTTCCGCCCATTGCTGGTGCTCTCACACACCAAACCCGCAGCTCCTATCCGGGACCCTCCGAGGATACCCAAGGTCTGTGTGTGGCTGTGATGGGCGGACGACTGCAACAAGTGACCACCTTTGAGTGCCACCAACGATAATCACCTTGATTCTGTCACTCGGCTGCTCTCACCAACAGCCTTTTGACCTGCCTCCTCCCCTTCCTCTCTGCCAACGTTCCACGTGCCTGGCGCTTTGCTAAAAGCTACTACCCATATTTTAAAGATAGAGGCACTGAGTGAAGCTCAAAGAGATTGCAGTTAAGCCTGTTGACTTTAAAAAAAAATGGCATTTGAAATCAGTGTGACTCAAGAGCCCCAAGTCCTAACCATGTAACTTCCCAGTAAAAGAAAACACATCATTCTACCCCACCCTGCCTGTGAATTTTTCCTCAACAGAGTTTCTGGCTCACAATGCAAAAACTAGGAGAAAGGAATTATTAAACCCATAGAAAGGAGGAAGAAAACGGCCTCCAGAGATTAGGCAAACCTGCTAGAGGGTTGTGCAACCACCAGAGGTTGCACCCTGGGAATTCAGTCAGCAGACCTCATATCTCCTTCCCAGCCTTCTCTGACCTAGCTATGGGTTCAGACCTTAGCTCTTCCAAACCATCCCTACTGCCCTGACAATTTTAACATTAAGACAGTGGAAGAAAGGAAGAAACACTGATTCGCCTCTAGAATTCTAGCTGGTTAGCCAGCCTGAGCAGTATCACGGCAAGAACCCAGGTGTGGAGGCTCAGGCCTGTAATCTCAGAACTTTCAGAGTAGAAACTGGAGGATCTTCGCAAGTTCAAACCAGCCTAAGGTATATATAGTGATCTAAGGCTAACAGGATACATAGCAAGCCCTTGTCTCAGATGGAGGCAATAAAAGGGGGGTAGGATGACTCACACCGGTCACCCCACGTATGTTAACCAGGCTGGGCAGCATAGTAAGAATCTATCTGAAAAATAAAAAGTAATGACATAAAGGAGGAAGGACTGGGGGTGTCCCTCGGTGCTGTTGAGTGTATTTTGACTAAGTGCTGTCATGGGCTTTTCTTTTTCTTCTTTTGTTTAAGCTTTTGTTCCTTTGTGAGTTTCACATACTTCAGGCTAGCCTCCAACTCAATAGGTCGCCAAGTTTCTGGCCCTCCCACCTCCCTGATCCTGGATTACAGATACGCACCGCACCGCACCACTATGTTCTGATTATGTGCTGCGGGGGACCAGCCCCAGAGCCTCGAGCAAAGCACCCTGCTACCTGATCTACCTCCCCAGCCCTCGTGTCCCTCAGGCCACATCCCAGAGGCAACTTGGCTCATGGCTCTGTCATCATGGGTCAACCTGGCTTGTTCTTGAATTCCCTAGGAATGAAACCATCCAGCAAATCCTGTTTCACTCCCGGGCTTCTCCTTCTCTGAGCCTTAATAGATATTTGTTAGCTATAGGAACAGAGGGCAGAGCAACAGCAGTGGTCTTCAAGCAAGGGATTTCTTGGGGGTGAGCAGATAATGGGAAACACAGACAGAGGAAGGCTGTTACTAGGAAACAGCCATGTACCCTCCATCCTGGGGGAAACTAATAAAATTATATAAATCCCAACCAAGGTAAGGGATCCATGTTTAGAAAAAGCCAAGCCAGACATCAGACCCCAGATGGAAAGATTCTAAGGCCCAGCTAGACAAGGTTCAAGATCCTCAAGTTCCCAGACCATGTTACTTCCCAGCCCAACACTCCCCTTTCTCCTTACATGAGAGGATTTCTCAGAAGAGGTGGGTACTCACACACCAGGAATCCAGGCCAAACCCAGCCAGGCATAAATACCTCCCAACCCCCCTCCCACATCCCCTCAGCATCTTTACCAAGGGACATTCGATGTGGAGGAGGGAACCCAGCCAGCCTACCCTCACCACATGCTCAGGCTGGCACTGCAGCACCAGGCAGCCCGCCTGGACTCTGTGGGGGTCCCAGAAGCCCTATGAGTGCCTCTGCTTCAGTACCAGTCAGGTATTGCTCCTGGGGTTAGGAGCATGGAGACCAGCCTTCTGCTTCCTCTAGGTCTTTTTCTTGCTCTGGGTAGATCCTGTACCTTTACCTCCCACCAGGCCCTTCTCAGTGGGCAAAGGTAAAACGTGCTGCTGCCTTTCAGGGCCCACGCAGATTGGCAGTGAAGCAATCATCTCAATGCGTCACGCTGGCACTGCAGGAGCCTGGTCCCTGTTGAGGTGTCACTAATGAATTAGCTTCACCCCAGCATGGGACCCCTCAGGTTTTTCCCACTCCCCAGGAGAGCAGGAAACTGAGACTTGCAAGGAGGAACCAGGGCTCTGATAGCTCTGTTCACACACACACTGCAAAAATACCCAAAGGACAAATCCCCAGGCCTTCAAAATGGACTTTCTATTGCCAGCTACCAGCTATAATCTTACCCCCCACCCCAAATTTATGTGAAGATTTCTTTGAATACAAAAACTCAGTGCTCTCAGTGATCGACTCTGTACCTAGTCTCTAGCATTCACAATTGTTCGCATTTTCCTATGCCCTTCTAAATGTTTTCTTTTAAATAAAAGAACAAAAACCTGACAAATCATTCAGAAGGAGGCTTTTGTCTCCCCTTCTGTGTCCCCTGCTGACCCTGCCTAGGCTCCTCCTGAGTGCCCCTCCCTACCCTGAGCCAGGGCCACTGGCTGCTTGCTGAGACTTGAATAGTCACAGAATGTCACATTACTGGAGGTTCTTAGAAAGCAAAGACTCCAGCTTATTAGAACCAACCAGGAAATGTCAGGGCAAGGAGAGGGCTCATTGTGTGGTGAGGGGCAGGGGTTGGGGGGGGAGGGGTGCTCTTAGTGTCTGCAAGAAGCTAGAGGCCTGGCTTCCAAAAACTCTGCTGAAGGGACTCACCCACTGATATGTTTAGTTCCCATGGGTTCATGAAAGTCTCTTGGAGCTCTACTCTAGTTCTCCCATATGGGAAAAGGAAAGTGATGGCTTCTTCATACCACGGGGCTGTCTCCTTACCTGCACCAGCCAGAACTTAATCCCCTTAGTCTTTAAAGTATTCATTCAAAAACATCAAATACCTGCTTCTAGGCCTGGGCACTGGGGGGTGCCATGAATAAACACACCACGGCTAAAGTCTATACTCTGAGGACAATTTCTGCCAGTGGAGACAGTCAACCCAAAAGGAGCTGAGTGATGGTCGGGTTGTGGAAGAAATGAAGCAAGGACTGAGGAGGGGGAAGAAAAGAGGTGAGAGAGAGGCCACTGACACCTGAGTGGCCCAAGGAGGCTACTGTAAGAGAGTAGCATTGAGCTAGAACAAGAGGAGGCGAGTGTAAGGCAGGAAGGTGTGCACAGGGGTGGGCTCCTGAAGATGGTCATTAGGGGGAAAGAGGGTCTGGGATCTGCACAGCAGCCCAGGAGCTTTCTGGGGCCTTGGAGCTACCAGGGTGTGGTTGCAGATGAATCAGAGAGAGAAGGTAAGGAGGCAGCAGCTGCTTTTTGGTGTTGACTTTGAATACTAGGTCACTGAGAGACTTAGAGCAGAGATCATGCATTTGAACAGACAGCTGCAGGAAGAAGCCTGCTCGGCATCCCCCCCTCATCTTGGTTCTCTCCCACACGATAATGAACAATGTCATCTAGTGAGCACCTACGAGCTGTCTAATTTACCCTTCACTGCCGATCCACCCTCCCACTCTACAGATGAGGAAACAGATTCAGAGAGGGTAAGCAGCTTGAGCAAGGTCACACAGCTGGGAAGAGACAAAGCTGAGGTGCAGGTCCATCTAATCATGAAGCCAAAACTTTTCATACCTTGGGTCATTGACTCAGTTGG